CTCCATGAAGGTGCCCATATTCTGATATGCCTGTATCAGTCCCTTAGGAGCCCTGGTGGCATAGTGGGTTATGTATTGGGCTACTAACGACAAGTTCTGAAGTCTGAAACCACCTGTTGTCCTTGTTGCTCGGTGGCATCGACTCACTGGCCCTATGCACAACTGAATGAAATACTGCAAGGTCCTGTGCCAGCCTCATAATTGTGCCTTTGCCTGAGCCCATTGTAGCCACAGTGTCAATCCATCTCGTTGAGGGCCGTCTCCCTTTTTTCTACTCCTCTACTTTATCCAGCATGATGGGCTTCTCCGGGCACCGATCTCTCCTGACCGTTTGTCCAAAGACTGTCCGGTGAAACCTTACCATCCTTCTCTCCAAGGAGTTCTCTGCCCACACTTCTGACAGGACATTGATTTATCCTTTTAGCAGTTTGTGGCACTTTCAATATTATTCTCCAGCACTACAGTTCAAGTGCATCAATGCTCCTGTCTTCTTTAGTCAATGTCCAGCTTTCCCAGGTATAGGAAGAAAATTGAAATACCATAGCTTGGACCAGGTGCACCTCTACTACTGCAAAGAGTTACAATCTTCGCCTACAGTGGTACTTCTGTCCTGCTCTATAGGGTCACTATAGTTGTAGTAGACTCAATGGCACTGAGTGATCGGTCATTTAGACTAAGTGCCTCGGTTTTGGCTTTATGATCTATCTCAGGTATCAGCAAACTTCTTGACCCTCTGTTGTTTCTCCAGAAACAACAGTTACCTCTACAGTTACCTCTCATCTTACTCGGAAAAACTGTATGTGTATATATATATACATACACACACACACACACATATATATATATATATATATATTTCAATATTCATTCTTGCATAGCACACTGGTTATCACTTACCCCTTGTGAAGTTAGAATGAGTCAGATGACACTATTACCACACCATTTTTTTTGCAGACTTGCCGGCTAGCGTCTACTTAGGATCTTTGGCTCCCTTCTTTCTCTTTTGCTCCTGATGAGGACAGACCAATAGTTGCATCTTACACAGTCTCTCACTAGCTTTTAAGGTCCTGGATGCTTACTCATTGTACTAAGATGTAGACTAATGTCTTTATCAACTGTGCTATACCAGTTGATCGAGTTAGGCTAAATAACTATGGTACTAAACCCTCAAAGTGAGTAAAATAATTCTGAAAGGTATTAGTTATGTATAGAAAGTATGTAAGGTGACCAGATTTTTAGCATTGGTAAAGTGGGACACCATTGATAAAACTCATATCCTGGCGGAAAAAGCCACATGGCAGCCAAAAACTGTATACCCTAGCTTGTCGTGCATTCTTTCCAAAAATCAGGACTTTTTTAAAACACCGTGGGCCGCGGGGAAAATCGTTAAAAATCGGGACTGTGCCGCCAAAAGCGGGACGTCTGGTCACCTTAGACTGTGTCCCCTATGTATTTTATCTATGTATTCATTTATGTGAACGATGCAAACATGGATAAGTCTAAGAAACACTATCCATGTGCACCCATGCATTCATTGGTGCTTCCTTATACATATATCACCATACATATCTACCATGTAACTACACAATTATATATTTGTGTTGTTATTACTGTTGTTGCAAAATGATGTGTTACCGTTTTTTAACAAAATCATCCCTTATGCTTGTGTACTGCTTAGTGTCACCTTGACCTTGGTCAAGTTGTGCTGACTTCCCCCTTACTCAATAGTGCTTTTCCCATCATCAAAACTAACGAGTCAGTGACTCTCCCTCTCGTCACTGGTAACCACCAGAGACTATTGCTTTCTTCGTGAATATCTAGGCTTATTTTTCTTATAATAGTGAGTCACATCATATTTGTTCTTTTGTGACTGTCTTATTTCACTCAGCATAATGTCTCCCATATTCATCCACCTTATAATAGAGAATCCGGAAAACTTTATTCTTTGGACTCTATAGTATTATGTTGCTTGTATGAAGCATAATTTGTTTACCCATGCTTTTGCTCTTGGGCAGTTATGAGTGTTGCTGTTATCAATAATGCTGCAATGAACATAGGTGTGTGTCTGTCTGTTCCTGTCAGTCATCTTAGTGCTCAAGGGCATATACATAGGGGTGGAATTGCTGGATCATAGGGTATTATTATTTCTAGGTTTTTGAGAAAGTGTCATGCTGTTTTCCATAGCGGTGGAACCAATGTACAATCCCACCACCAGTGGAATATATTCTCTCTCGTTAAATTCGTATATCTCGCTCTCTAACGCCATCCGTATTTTGTTCAGTGTTATTTCACACCATAAAATTGAAATTATTCCTAGAATTCTGGATAAAACTTCTGATTTATTCTTTCATTTCTGAGATGTTTTGAAAGATGGTGGTATTTAGCCATAGTTGATTTAAAAGTTTTAATTAGGCCGTTGATTTTTGCCCGAAATACATTTTAATTGCCTATCAGATTGGAATGGGTGTGATCTCGTGGGAATGTGTTCACCTGTGTGCCTCTAGGAAGGCACGGACTCCCGTTACCTCACGCACCCCCTCTTCCCTCTCAACAGCAGGCCAAGGGGAGCCGAGTCCACCTTCTGTACTCCACCCCAGCCTGTTACCTCCAGGAGCTGAACAAGGCCAACCTCACCTGGTATTTGGGGCACGCCCCGTCTGGGGGAATCGGGATGCCCCTGGGCCCTGACCCAGCCCTCAGTGCCCGGCCCCTGCAGGTCACTCAAAGAGGATGACTTCTTCCCCTACGCCGACGGCCCCCACGAGTTCTGGACGGGTTACTTCTCCAGCCGGCCGGCCCTCAAACGCTACGAGCGCCTCAGCTACAACTTCCTGCAGGTGGGTGGGTGTCTGGCTCAAGGGGGCGGACCAGAGTGGGGAGGCAATGTGAACACCCCAGCACACCCTTGCCCACCAGGTGTGCAACCAGCTGGAGGCGCTGGCAGGACCTGATGCCAACGCAGGACCCTTTGGCTCTGGAAACAGTGGGCCCCTCAGTAGGTGTCAGCTGGGCCGAAGCGGGTATGGACATTCCATTGTGGCTGGCCTGTCCTTGGCCATTCTCCCAGTCCCTCTTTAAAGCTCCTAAGACCCCTTCCCGCTGCCACAGCATCTCTGTCCTCCTGGGGGGGCTGCCCCCCGCCCCCCGAGGACCGCCATGCTCCCTGTCCCACCCTAGGGGAGGCGATGGCCGTGCTCCAGCACCACGACGCGGTCAGCGGGACCGCCCGGCAGCTGGTGGCCGAGGACTATGCGCGCCGGCTGGCGGAGGGCTGGGGACACTGTGAGGTGTGAGCGGAGGCGTCCGCGGGAG